ATCTTTGAAATGTAGCTGTTAAAGCATGAAAGATTTTACCACTCCATGGATGAATGAGAAGCTTCAGAAACTAACAACCTAGATCAGAGGTTCTCAAGTCTTCCACACCTTAGAAAAAGCACAACACGGACGTGACTCCTGCCAAACACAGCAACCCCTGCCAAGTAAAGAAGTGTTGCTTATACAGAGTGCGATACTTGCCATCGCATCAAGGGATTCCTTAATCTTTTTTATTTATTCTACTTCCTGCTGCTTTTCTCTGGAAAGTCTATGCAACACTTTTCAGTCCCTCTTTTTGCCCCAAACATCGCTAACTGCTCCGGATCCCCAAGGGTAGCTCGCTCCCTTTTATCTGACCACAGCCCTTGGTGGTGGTGGCAGCTCAGCTGAATCCAACAGCTTTTTGTAAGGTTGCGGGGGAGCGTCCGATGCCCGTAGCAGACGCTGGGAAAGAGGCAAAGCCCCAGAACTAAATCACTTTTTGAGGTCACACTTTGAGAACCACTGCACTTAGGTTGTAGCTGCTGATACTGCCGAGAGAGTGGCAAAATAGTGGTTAATCTCACAGAACACGGCGGCTGGTTCATGCCATCAACCACTCGTTGCTGGTGTAACAACCAAATCCCAGGAAAGGTAAGAACACATGCAGTACATAAATTGTGCCATTCTTTAGATTAGCTAAGGGTAGAGCAATAAAAATTAGAAAGAAAAAACAAGGTGCGGCATCGAAAGCATATGGAACATGGATGCATTTTTGCTTTTCTGAAACCCAAGATTTCCCCCTTGGTTTGCATTTTGCTTTGCAGCTAGTGCTGACAGCAGCCATATATTGCTCTAAAGCGTTAAACAGAAATACAGTATCTATAACAGTTAGTGTCTCTCTAAGCTTATCCAACTGGGTTGGGTAAGCCCAAAGAGGCCTATTGTAGAGAAAGTTTATATATAAAAAAATACACAAAGATACAGGCCAAAATAGATTCCAGCAGGTCAAATTCTGCTGTCAGCAACAAGAGCAAAAGACATCACTAAAATAAACTTAAAATAAAAAGGAGAAAACTTAGCATTTCCCACACACAAGAGACTGGCAGTATAAACGAAGTTTTGTTGACCTGTGATGAAAGCAGCCTCAAAATTGAGAGCAGCATTTCATCACAATATATTTGTCTGAGGTTAACGAGAAATCTAAGTGTTAGAGCCAAAAGAAAAGTCGTCGTATTTAAATCACACATTTAGCATCACAGCCTTTATCTAAAAAGACATGGGAGAGAAAAACAATGGATACCATCTACGTATGAAGGTTGCTCGTTTAACTTGATTCCAAGAAGACTGAAGGAGGAGAATAGATTGTGGGATGGGGATGGGGTTTGGAAGGGGAGAGGAAGGAGAGTAAGAGGTCATTGAGGAAGCCAGTAAAGGGGAAAAACGATTTAAAAGGGTCAAACACCACAAGGGTAAGGAACAGCGAAGAAACCGGGGTACAATACACAGCAAAATTCCAACAATATGAAATTGTAAATACAGTAAAAGCAATGAAGTTTATCATCCGGTAGCTTTATTTTTTGAAGGACAGGACTTTATTGAAGACTAGATAAACTAATTGCGTTTAGCAGGAATCCAAGCGGACTGCCGAACAGAGCAGTGATGCTGGTTGGCAGCCAAGGGGAAGAGGAGACCAAACACCACAAGAACCTGTAAATTACTTCACAGTTGTTGGTTTAGCCAAGGATAGAGTGCACGAGAAGCAGAGACCGCAACAAAGCTGCTGTTTCTTTTAAGATGTAACGAGGCTGTAATGCTTATACGTGGGACTCTGAAAAGGATTTGACGAAAGTGCTGCTTGCAGGAGAGCTAAGAGAAGTAGGTAGGGACTGCGAGTAAGCAAAGGCGACTCGGGATACTTGAAGACACACAGCCAGCTCCTCAAGGGCATCGCCGCAGCTCTGACACTAACAGAGAATCTGGTTCCCAGTGGTCTTGCAAGAAGCTGAAGGTAGATGAGTGCTACGGGGATTAGTGACAGGGATAATTTTTCCCCTCCTCCTACCAGCAAACTAGTAAAGTGACAGGCAGTAAGGGATCTGTTCAAAATGCAAGGATGGTGAAGTTAATGGAAGAAGGCAAAATTCAGAATGGTACAAGTAGAAGACGGCAGTGAATTGGCTTTTTCAATTTTATAAATATATAGTCACCTAGGTTTGGCATTTAAAGGACAAGCGTATAGACAGAGCAGTGCTCTACGCAACAGAATACAGATCAGAAAGAGAAGGCAAGAGAAAAAGTGTTCTGGGACGCATGACCAGGAGTACTGAGCCCAAACCCTGAGGAATTTTTCCTAGCGCACCCCAGGGACTAATAGGGCCGTTTTTGGAGATGACAGTTCATTACCACGCTACATAAAAGAGCGTAACAGAACAAAAATGAAAGCCAGAGCAACAGGATTCAAGAGCACTATCTCAGAAGTCAGATGAATTAAAGGAGGAAGTACTCGGCAGTACGCTGGACGGAGATGGGTAGGTTTTCAAACCTGCACGGGTCTGTCACTTCTGCTTTAAGCTACCACCTAGGAAGTGGACCCGAAGTCCTCTTCTTTTTGTGTGCGTGTGTTTTTTAGTATAGCTTTAAGCAGAGAAGCCATTAATTGAGACCAGGATTAATCCAGACCAGGCATGATGTTTTAGTACCTTTTGCTCAGAGGCTGCAAGGCTGGGATTAAATGTTACAAAGGTATAGATGAGACAATAATTACTGAAATATGTCAGAACTTCAGGCACAAATTATATTCAGATGCCCGTTTCTTTGTCTCCACCACCTCCCCTATTTAAAATCGGATGCTCTAGAGCATTTAAATAGATGAATTTACAATCTGCTTAAATAAAAGGTGTCTGTGTAAAGAAGATTAAGATAGCTAAAGCAAGAAAACAAAAAAACAAATATATTGAAACTTCGTTTACACTCCAATAAAAGACAAAGCCCGTCCCTCCTCTGACTGTGGAACTGGCCTGTACCTCTGTGATAAATTATCACCTAGAGAGAAGAAATCTAAAGAGATATCGTTAATCACAGTCAAACAATTCACAGAGAGAAAAGAAAAGAAAAATAACTTACTTAACATTACCGTACTTTACTATGAAACACTTAAATATGTCACTAAGGATGTATGTCTAAATTAAAAATAAAACTAAGACTTAACAGCTTAATAAATATGAAGTGAAGAATATATTTCTTAATAATGAGTCAGAAGAGACATGAAAGTTCAGATGGCAAACTATTCTCTAGCATGTAGAACATGCTACAAGGTGGTCAGTGCAACTAAGCTTCACGTGTTTAAAGTATTGCCTCAATTGTCAAACAGATGACCGATGCAATGGAAGGTGGATGACATGAAACTTGCTTCATATTTTGACCAAAGGTTACCAACTTGATTAAATAGTCTAGTGAAGCTCCCAGTTTGGGTTTGGTTTTTTTTCTTTTAAAAAAGCAGTCTAACATACAGGGATTCTACATCCCAATCAAAATAGATATTTTTTTTTTTCAGAATTATTTTGTGTAGTTTAAGAAGTGTTTTTTCTTTAATTGTAAGTGAAGCCATTTAACCAAAACAAAAAGCATATAATGGATGGATTCTGTTCTAATCTCATGTTCAGAAGTACTCTGAACTGGAGTGTCCCCCCCATGCAGTTACAGACATCAACATACCTTTCATGTGGAACAGGAGGAAAGTCTGCTCATTTCCCCCCCCCCAACAGTACCTTAAGCCACAGGAGCGGCTCGAGAATCAAATTTCATTCAGCTAAAAAACTAGCAAAAAAACCTATAAATGAACGTGAAACATCTGACTTTAAATGCACAGATACCAACTAAAGCTGTAGATGAAGAGTCTAGACTCGAAGTGATTATTTGCCCAGTGAATTATTCTTTTTCCTGAGGCAACATAGGAAAAAAAAAACAACAATCAGTCTACCTTTTCTGATGGTGTGAAATAGTTTGCCATCTGACTATAGGAGAGTATGAAGAAATTTCAAGGACAAACTAGATCAGCCTTTACCTCGGGGCCTCTGTTTCTCTGCGTCATAGATCATTACAACTTCAGTGACCTGGAAGAGAGAAGGGAAATTCTACTAACTGTGCTACCAGGGGAGCGTTATGAACAGTTACTACAGGCTGGCCTCCCCCACTCTATCCACAAAGCACAATTAAACGCTCGATGTAGCCATCAATACCAGGCTGCCCTAGCACAGTGCAAACAAATTGGGAATATTGCTCTTTATGGGAGTTTAAGAAAAGCCCGAGTTCATCTGTTCTGAGAAACTGCTACATTGTGGCTTTTAAAGGTCTCATCACGCTTAAAATCTTAATCCAGCATTAAGGTCGCTACACTGTTTATACCCACACTATAGCCTATAAAAAAGCCCCAAAGGTTTCTGGTTTTCAACATACCATTCATCAGGGTAGCTTCTTAAGAGATTACTTTTTCCATTTTTAAACATTTTCACTCTCAACAAGAAAAGCAGCTTTAACCTCAAACACATTTAAGAATTTGCACGACTTCTCCAAATTACCTATGTGAGTATCAGTGTGGCACAGAGCACCGGTTATAAACTGACGCTTTAAACAGCGTTACAAAAAAACCCCTAAGTTATGGATGATCTGTATCAGTATAATTTTAACTTAAAATAATGCAAAAAATAGAAAATGCAAGCTGTTTGAGGGCTTTAAGATTTTTTTCAGAATAAGCACCAATGCAAGTTACAATTTAAACAGAACCAGAGGTGTAACATTTATGGCAAAGGCACTCCTAAAGCAGCTGAAAGGAACTGCCTTTAAATTTCTCAGATGCAGAAAAGCGGTCACAAAACATGTGTGATCTCACGGAATCACATCTTTGCCTTCAGGTCAATCTTGGTATGTTTTTTACTAGAATCCCCTTAACTAGCTTAAATTCTGATGCAAATTCACCTTCTACTCACAGCTAGAAAACACACTTTTCAAGTTATTACACCATATACACTCACTTGAATGTATCCTACTGGATGCTAACAGCTGAGATTTATCCCCATTTGGGGATTATGCCATGTAACAGTGCCAGATTTCTTCCCCACTGGTCCATTTGGATCCCTCTCTTCACACTGGTCAGACTGACCAAGCAATTACCATGCCTAAGAATCAGTGCCTGCTTTTGTCTCTTCACTCTGTGGCCACAAAACATGTGTAAGAGCCTCTACTTCTGCAACAATAACTCATCAAGAATGCTACAGAGCCTCCCCAATTTCTATACTATTGTTAAAGTTCTACTACTTACTTTTAAAAGGCACTTACACTTCATGGCTGTTGCCTTCTCTATTTGGTGGAACATAACCCTCTATCTCCCAAGCCATCCAGAGGTCAGAATTGGAAAGAGGAAGAGCCTTTGGAAATTACGCTCCACAGCTGTGAAGCATGCTCCCCCATTTTTATTTTATCTACCGCAGCCTTTCAAACTAAAGAAACAGTTGTTAGCCATTGCCTTTTATTTTTTTTTAATGATCTTAATCAAATTCTGAATGTGCTGTTGATAAACTTATCCACTTGAGAAAGAATCAACAACTCCTTTGCTGCCACTAAGAAGAATTCTTAGAGAAAGGCGATTAAAAAAAAAAAAAGAAGTAACAGAACACTGAACACATCTCAGAAATGGCAAGTTCACGTCCACTGGCACAGTCCTGAATTTAACTCAGGCAATCTTTAAGTTTCTCAAACTTCTTCACAGATAAATTCAGTAATTTAGTTCAGTAGTTTACCATCTTAAAGGGGCAACGATAGTTGGGATATATGGGAGTTAAAACTAAACAGAAAAAAAACAAATTGGAAGATCTAGTCATTTCGGTCTGAAGTTACAAACTGAATTCAAACCAGGTACATAACATGAGTAGTAGTTGGTCTCTGGAATGGAGGTTCTAGGGGCAACAGAACTCAGCAGATTCCAGGTTATGATTTAAAAGCAACCACTGTTACCAAAATAATGGCAGGAGACAGCGAGGTTTAACCTATCTGTACACGCAGTCAGAGATGAGGATCTGAGACATCAGCTCGCTGAAATACTCGCTGTTCCCCAAAAAAAGAAAATTCAGTAATTTTTTAATTGCCAAGCTGTAAGTTATCAATTGAAAAGAGAAAAAATTATTCTTAAGCCAACTCAATGAGTTTTTGCAAGGAAGGGACAGAATAATGCATCAGGTAGACTGAAACAAGAGGAGACAGAAGCAGCAAAGTAAGTTACATATCAGAGCAATAGGTTTTGACAAACAGCAAGATGCATTTCACCGTGATGAACGTTTACCACAGTTTATCACAAAACGCTTCAATATGTCCCTACAGCAGTTTGTCTAAATTAACCCAAAATTTGACAGCTTGACGAAATCTGAGAAAAGGCAGTGGGGAGGGAAAGCATCTTGCAACCGACTGATAACTGCCATCATGCTGAATGACTCACCACTCCGAATTTCTTGAAGTATTCCCTGAGCTCTGTCTCGCCACAGTTATGAGGAATCCCACCAACAAAAATTTTATTTGATTTATTGTTATCGCTCCTGGATCCCTTCTGCTAAATGAAGGAGGAAAAAATTCAGTCAGAAGGACAATAAAGTTGGCTACTTCTATCATTTTAAATATGAACAATGGTCTCTGGCAGGTGGGGGGGGGCATCTCTAGGCTTGACGTCTCCTAGTTATTAGTGTGAAGCAACTGCATGGTGAGAGCTCACACATTTAGTGTTCATAGTTATAACCCAGCCTCTGCTCTTCAGAAGACCGGAAAACTGGGGACTGTGTTCTGAGGCCATTTACTCATTTTATAACGAGATCCTATTAACCTGCAGGGTGTGAAGGAGGCTGGAAAAGAGCATCAGCCCTGCGAGTGTGCTTCCAGACACTTGTTTCAAGATTTGAAGATCTCGACTAAAAGCACTGCTAAGAGCTTAAGAAAATACCACGCCCACAAACTCAGTCTGACGCAAACACAAAATGTTCATTAACACTATATTGTACTTGGAGGCTTACCAGGGGAATCTAAGTAGAAGACATTTTTCAGAAATAAAATTTACACTCAAGGCCCGCATACCAACTCTTGATTTTAAAACACAGATATAATCCAAGTGATTTCACTTCAACTGCTAGCAGGTAAGCCAGAACTTGGAAAACAGGCAGAATACACCAGGTATCTTTCCTTACCCATCCTTCCTTCGGTCGTGTCCTCTCTGGTTGCATCCCCCTAGGTGTACATGGCTTTGGATCAATCTGGAAGAAGTTCCAGTTTGGTCAGATCTCAGCATGCAGAATATTCTTCTACAAGTTACGTTTATGGCAGCTGAACACAGCACTGCTGAAATCCAGCTCCTCAGATCAAAGCTATCATCAATACAGAGCTTCTACAACGTGACTCAAATCACAGAGTTAAAGCTGTCTTACAATAAATAATTAAAATCAACAACCAGGTAAATTTTACACTATCGAGTCTGCAAATAAAAGCCAGAATTTAAAACAGATCTCTGAAGCAGTCTGGAGAAGACTGTTCTGAAGCAGAAAAAAACCAAAACAAAACACAAAAGCAACTTACATTTCGGCCATCTAACGTATGAGGTCTACTGGCCAGTACTGTTCCCACACAGTTGGGATCTTTAAATTTGACAAATCCAAATCCTCGAGACTGGTTTGTTGTTTTGTCTTTCATTATTACACAGTCTACAACTTCTCCATACTGGGAGAAGTAGCTACGAAGAGTTTCTGTTAAAAAAAAAAGCGTATATTAAACAGAACCAGATATTAACTTTACCAGGCTGTGTTCGCAATTACAAGACAGAAGATAAGCAAACAGCTGAACAAGTTCAAACTTCCTCTTTTGAAAATTAAATTTTACTTCCCCCAAACAAATGGTATATGCTGCTTTATTTCCACTCTCACAAAAGAAAAGTAGCAATAAATAGTTGTCGTCTTCCGAGTTGACAAAAACTTCAATACCAAACACTGACAGAAATACAAACCCCAAAGCGATTAAGGTATATTTGAACTCTCTACAAAAAATTTTATTCGTTAACAGGAGAGCAGTACAATCTCATCCAAACCTTCCTAACACGGTACCATCTGTTAGAAAGCTGTGTATCTGTATGTTGTTCTGCTGTTCGCAAAGGCCTGGCTCAACGACTGTAGAATACATAAGCTTACCTTGCGTCGTACTCCAGTCCAAGCCACCCACAAACAGTTTCCTGCAATTGAAGCATACAGCAGTTTTAGGGTGCTACACGACAGATGCTCCATCTTGTTTATAACACAGAAGTCAGCTGCTCTGAAGCGGTCTGGGGGTCCTGAGGCCTCCAAAATACACTACAAAGCCTGTTCTTCACTAGAGTTCACGATTCTTTGTGACAACTGCCTTCCGTTTCGTGGAGATACACATGAAACTGAAGCATCTGTTTTGCAGGCCACAAGCGTGAGCAGAGACTGTAAGCTTATCACAGGAATACATTTGATTCTTTTATGCAAGACGACGACAAAAATATCAGAGAAGCCCAAGTTCCTCCAAACTTCCTATTTCCAGGTATTTGAGAAGGCAGCGTTGAGAAATCATTACAATAGCCAGAAAGAAAAAAAAAAACCCAGCACAGAACATCACAGGGAGTACACTGAGCTGCTCTTGCGGGGCAGACAGGAGTTCCAGCATGGAACACCTCATAGTGCAGAAAAATACGTACAAAGCATCACTGAAATGATTTGAGAAGTGATCCAAGAACACCATGGTAAGGTCATCTGAGCTGGTTAACCCCAGCCCCCACCAAAACAGGGTGTCTGGATTCCTGTCAAGGCCTGGATCACTGGCTCTACTTCACTTACACAGCTTCTCTGAGCAACAGCTGCAGGGTCCGTGCAGTTCCAATTTAAGGATGAAAAAAAAAATCCCAAACTTCTGAGACACAGCAAACTGACCGAAAAACGGACATCCTAGTTTAAGTACCCAAGTCCGTTCCACTGACTGCTTTAATCCCAGGTTAAGGATCAAGAGCTGTGCACAGTCTTGTATGGGGCCTCCGAAACCAAGTTCAAAGAACAGTTGGGCTCTCCTACATCCATTTGCTACCCAACACTGAATGTTACCGGAAAGAGAACTGGCAACTGAAATAGGTTAAAAAAATTATTCCATAAAAATACGCTAGCAACACAGCTGCTGCAGCCCTTCGTAGGGGGTATCGCAGCAAGAGTAACACCAGATGCTGAAGGCCACACTTCTGACGTTACCATACATTTAGAGGTATCTCCACAGGAACAATAATGCCCACGGTTCAAGTTATTGAATACCAGCTTACAAATAACGAGCAGTGTAAGCGCATCTGCCCTGAGATGATGTGGCCAACTCTCGGGTGCCAGAAGGTCAAAGCCCAGTGGGAATCACAGCTAAAAGAAAGAGACCCCCGAGGAAGGCAGGCTGAACTAGATGTACCAGCTGGATCCGGGCACTGCCTGAAATTTCAACGCTTGTTCTCTAGCTGCGTAATGGGGCAGAACAGAAAGCATACGAGTTTTTCCCACCCTCAGATCAAAAAAGCTTAAGTCAGCCCTTGGCCTTCCTCGCCCCTGTGTTCTCAAAGTACTGTCCTGGTACAGAAAAGTCCTTAAACTGCTGATTAAAAACAAACAAACCCCCTTCATCCACCCCTTTTATGTGTTACTCCCTCGCTCGCCTAGAAAGACCAGTCAGAGTCACTTTTGCCTACCATTATCTTCTAGCAAAATGAAAGCAAAAGTAGAACTACAAAGTTCAAATCTAAGATAGAAGGCAAACTTGTGAGGCAAGCACTAAATAACAGGGTAGCACTAATTCAGCAATTAGTTGTGAAACCGTTTCACAATCTGGTTTAGAGATATCTCCAAATAGATGAGAAAGTCATGGCTAAAACCCAAACTAAACTCCGTGCTGAAAACTTAAACCTGACGCAAGCCCATCTCGTGAAAAGCGCATCCAAATCTGTACCATTTCATGTCAGAGCACGCCAAAGCACTTGGGTAAGCGCACAAAGAGGAGCAGCGAGATGCCAGACTGCCTGCTTTGCAAGTCTTTATCAACTTCAGGGTGTGACAGAACTTCCATGCAAAGTAATTTACTCCATAATTAAAGGTTAGTTCAAAGCCACCTCAACGCTTGACCCTTTTCAGTAAGAAGCACCGACTCAAAAGCTCTTCTGTTAATGGTTCTGCACAGGCAAGTGCTGGGATGGTTTATCTTTGGAGGATGCCCTCTATTTCTCCTATCAGTCCTCAAAGAGAGGAACCATCCCCTCCTTTGTCTTCTACTTGCCCTCAGATGTACCCGAGCACAGCTGCAGCTGAGCTGAGGCTGGGAATTAGCACACCTTCACTTAAATGGAGAAAGTTGAGGTTCTAGCAACAACAACAAAAATATTAAACTTCCTCTCACCTGCTTTTTTCAGGAGCAGCTAACCGCCGTAAGAAATCAGGCCCACCCCAGTCAGAGAGCTGCTGGTGCGCAGGGAGCGTCAGCGAAGCCTCGCACCCAGAAGGTGCTGCGCAGCGGGGTGGCTGGCGGAAGAAACCAGCAGCCCCTTTTCGCTTTCATTCACTTATTTGTGACCCTTATGCAAGGGCCAACAGTGCCTAAACCAAGGCCTTCAGAGCACAGATATGCTATACAGGAAAAAAATCAGTATTACACTGTACAGGCAAGCCTTGTTCCACTGAGCCGCATTTTATTTCTAAGTCACCAGTTGAGAGGTGACCTAAGTCTTAGCTTAAAAACAAACAAACAAACAAAAAAAAACCCATTAAGCACAGATCAAAGCATTTTCTTTAAGCAGGCCAGAAAATAACTGAACTGGTAATATGCAAGGAACGTCTTCGGTGTGGATGCATCTGCAGCACTATCACACTGCATGTGACAACAGCACAAGCAGGACATTTCACCCATTACCAGCCCGCTCTGAAAGCAGGCCTAGTTTCTATTTGCATGCTTCAGGATGACGAAGTTTTTCTCAAGGATAGGAAAACTCCCCCCCCACCTCCCTCTACTGGCAAAGAGCTTCGCTCGTGGCATCCGTTCAAAGAGCTTATTCAACACCAGCCGGTTTTCAGCAACAGGTCGTTTTCTGGTAACAGCCAAACTTCACCCAGCCGTTGCCACCGCACACAGACTTCCCAGCACCTTCCACGACTGGCCCTCGACTGCGTTTCCTCTCCTCAGGCAGGACACGCACACATATCTCTGTGCTCTTTCTTGTACCACTATTTTCAGGGAAAGTTCTACAAGGAAATAACTTTATTTCCTAACAGCAAAGAAAAAACCCCGATCTAATACTATATTCAGATTAAAGTTCTGATGGCCCATGACTGTGCACTAGGCTCCACTTTCTTGACCAATTGTATTTGGGGATTTTTATTAATTTTATTTTTTTTTTTACACTAAATTTGATAGCTTGTATATAAGCTCAGTCTAAAAATACCAGCTGTGTTCTGACAGAACATCAAGCTGTCCGCAGGGAAGGAGGGCTCCCCGCAGTCAGTGGTCATTGAAACCTTCCAATTCCATTATTAATTATTTGTAGTCACCCTACATACATTTAAACAAACAGAAAAGCAGGGTTGCCTAAGGTCAACTACAGCAGCTGTATGTAAATACACGGCTTCTATTTATATGCACACTATAGAACGCCAAAAGCCAGGACTACCCCGGCCTTTGACTCCTCCATGGACTGGTTTAAACACCCTGAGCAAATACAGGAGTTAACTAGTCCCTACCTAACACTAAAACAGAGATGCAACGACATGCAAGACAGCTGCCAGGAGCGGGACAGTCGTATGAAGTAACGCTAGGCTCCCCACGTTCAGCTCACGTCACCAGGACCCATGCTGCTGCCTCCCGGCCTCCTGTACGACTTTTTGTTCAAGCAGTTTATGGGCTGGCAGTTATTAAAATTACGCCGTCAGTTCGAGCCTGCTGACGTCACTGGCCTCACACCTAGCCCTAACACCCTCAGAAGCACACACCTCCATAAAGCTGCGTATTTACAGCCGGCAGCGTGCTACAGTCCATCCCCAACTGAAACAAGTCCCCAGCACGAGCCCGACGGGGACACAAAACACCAGCCCCTTTCTTCCCACAGCCCTTTCTTTCCGCCGTGACGGTACGACGGCATGTGCGGTACCCCAGCGAGCAAGACACCAGCAGACACAGCGCACCTGAAGCGGCAGCATTCCTCAGTTCTGGAGAGGGAAGCGGAATGACAACTCTTCACAAGTTACAGTACCTACAGTAAGTTTTCACCAAGTTTCACGAACCCACGTGTTCTGCTTCAACCATTTCCTGACAAAATCTTACTTGCTAACTTACTCTTTTCTACCACAAATGTAGCTGGCACTGAAACAGCTAATCCCAGGATTAGTAGGAAAGCAAGAACAGGTAATTTAAAAGTGCCAAAACACAACAAAATCACAAACTCTCAGCCTATGTAAAATAATCTGGTAGTTCAACATCTCTCATTTCTCCGAGCACAGTCCCAATGAGCTACATCCTGCAGGACAGAAGGATCTCAGGAGCGGCGCTTCCTTTCATCCAAAATAGTCCCCAAGTACTCGTAAGGGCTCACAAGGCCCTGCCTACTCATATCAACAGGACTGCACAGCCTACAGCCTTCAGGAGTTTTATTTTTGCTTCAAATTTCTTCCTAGAGGAGCGGTTAAATTCCTGACTTCCTATTATAACTTGCACCTCACATCAGCTTTCAGATGAGAACTTCCTTCACAGCACTATAGGCAGCTGACTAAAACTGCAGCTCATTCTACGCTTTCACCTTTCCCTTTGAGCCCTTTTGTGGGGGGGGGAAGACAATTAACACCTCTGATTAAAATCCAATCCTTTCAAATCTGATTACAACTCAGAAGGATCAAAATTGAAGCGGTCTGCAGCCGGGAACAAGCTCTGTGACAGTCGGGCCCGTTCAGGATGGCGGTTGACAATATTTCACTGAGTAACTCGCAGCCTGCACTCACCTACCGTTCCAGAACAGCAGCGCACAGAACTCTGCTCCTCAGGTCTCTCATGAGGCACTAGAGAGTGATTGAGGCCCAGGACCAAATAAAAATCATTTCAGAGTGTAACCTACGCATGTAAACATGCCTCATGCAGGAGGTGGTGTTCGTAGCAACATGTCATATTCAGAACAGTCGTCCCGCCTCTCCTAGTTTTAAGACTGTACAAATTAAGAACACACACGGTAAATAAGCGGCTACGCAGTGGAAACAGCACGAGAACGGGAGGCTGGTTCGTGTCCACCGCAGCTTCAAAAAAAGGTGGCCAGTTCTGATGTGCATGCTCTGTGCTAAAACTTGGGAGCGAAAGCTCAGCAGCCCGTCGGGTTGGGTTGGGTCTTTTTTATTTTACTTTTGCCATTTTCAGGTCTAGCGTGCCAAGTCTACAGTCTCGTAATTTTAAACGTCGCTAGGTTTTGGAAGGCAGCCCTGAAGGAGAATACTACTAAATACACGGCAGAAGAACCAGACCGCTGTCAGGCAGGCAGTCTGAAGGAGCCACAAAAATCTCTGGAAAGCCTTTGGAGCAAAAAGCGGCGTTTTTCTGACCGAACCCCAGCTGGCGCGGCAGGGCAGCTCGCAGGAGGCATCCCGCCGCCGGGGGGGAAGTTTGGAAGGGCGCAAGGCCTCCTCTGCAGCACGGAGCGGGAGGCGAGGGGAGGCTCCCCGCGGGCGCC